AAATGGGACACATAACTGAGAGTGCGCCTTTTAGTACGGTGCGCCTTATGGTCGTGAAAATACGGTATATATCTGATCTCAGTGAGAAAACTGTAGATACAAATGACCAATGTTTAAAACAGTATTTCCCTTTTTTCCTTTAAAAACTTTCACACCAATTTTTTTCCAACTGTCACTTTATGTTTTAATTTGCCTTTGATTCCATTTTTCGTATATGTGTTTGTTTCTATGTTTTTTTTTAAGAAAGTAAAAGAACGATTTGATATTTTATTTATAAAAAAGCTGCCATTTAAGTAATATGTTCTATTTGAAAAAAAAAAAAAAAAAGCAAAAAACATCTCGTTTACACAGTACAGCAACTCTCAACCCCCCACGGGTCTTACATAACATTTTGAGAGATGAGAAAATATTTGGTAAATCCATTCCATGTTTGGTTTATAGAAGGGTGTCAGGGGAAATCAGAGATTAATGGTAGCATTTCTTAATAAGCTCATAATTATATTCCCCTCGTGCTCTTCGGAAGGAGATCCAATAAGAGTTTATAAGTTTTAGTTAAACAACAAAAAATGTCCATTTCTGTGAACCTACCCCCTAGCTAACCTAACCCTTTGACTGTTATGAAAATTATACATTTGCACTTATAAGTTGTGGAGGAGGAAAACCCAGGAAACATCGATCCCACATGGTTTCAAAAGCAGCAGTTGAGAGTACTCATGGAGAGCTATTGCCTCTTACATATGTCTATTTTGAAATCACTTTAATGCATTGGGAGAGGGAAGGTAATGGTGAGGCTTTTTCAACAATCACACAGGTTTAGAAATATACTTATTTCTGTTACTGAAGCTTTATGTTGACTAGTTTACACTTAACCTTTTCTCCTTTACTTGAAAAAGAGGCTTAGTTATAAGGTACTGTATATGGAAACAGTCTATATATTTATCTTACTGTATTTAAGAGACAAATGGGAAATGCTGTTTTATTCTTTAGAGTGAGCCATCACAATATGAGTGATTATTTTGTAATTGTAAAAAGAAAAAAAAGCCAACAAAAACAGATAACGGGATGAGATCTGTGTTGTACAGCTATTTACTCAGACAGTAATTTATTTGATCAGAACTCTCCAACGAAAGCTCTTTGTTTGTGTCAACATGCCTCATAACTGCATGGTTTGAAACTGTATAATTCATGCAGAGAGGGATCACCTCTTAATGGCTTTGCTAGTAATCCGGTGCCTCCATTCAGGAACTGACAACATGTAGATCAGCAGAGGGGCCAGGGTCTGGGTCTGGAGGCCGAGACAAGATGGTTCAGATTACTGTAATAAAAAATGGAAAATGAGCTCAGGGTGGGGTGACAGGGAGCTGGAGAAACTCAGAGGGGGAGATGATGTGGGAAGATAAGGCTTTGTTCAGCAACATTGCTTATTTTCTTTCCCTCTTGATAAACATTAGCCCAGTTTTTTTTGGTTAGCTCGATAACAGACAGATTACATTCATATAAGCTGCCTGGAAGCACCGGAACAAACATTAGAGCCTCATGCTGATTTATTCATTCTTTGCAACCAATGACATACACTATAACTACACATCTTACCATGCATGTTCTCTAATGTTCATATCAGGATCCTGTATGACTGTTACAGCATGGAGGATACCAGCCTAATGAAAAGTTAGTCTATGGACTGCCCTGCTACAGTAAGACCTGGAACTTTTTGCATTATCTGTTGTTGTAACATTTTGTCAAACCTTGTTACAACAACAGATAATATACAACTGAATACATTTGGTGGGATTTTGCGAAAATAATATAAAGTTTTCACATAAAAAAATAACCTAACACAAATTTGTATGCAGGTTCCTTTTTTGACACCTTTTATATATTTTATTGAATTTGCTTTAAAGGAATAGTACACCCAAAACATGATTAGCCTTCATTTTCTACTCACCCCCATGCTGAACAACACTCTGGAG